CTCCGCCTCCTGGGTTCAGGCAATTCTCCTGCCTCAGCCTCCTGAGTAGCTGGGATTACAGACATGCGCCACCATGCCCAGCTGATTTTTTGTATTTTTAGTAGAGACGGGGTTTCACCATGTTGACCAGGATGGTCTCGATCTCTTGACCTCGTGATCCACCCGCCTCAGCCTCCCAAACTGCTAGGATTACAGGCGTGAGCCACCGCGCCCGGCCCCGTTTAAATTTTTAATTGCAGTGGGCACTCCCCTCTCCCTAGAAGAACTCCAAGACACAAATGGATACCTAATTTTGCCAAACATTAAGGTGGTCAGTGTTGCTCAGACTGAGGTATCTTGATGGGGAGGCCTTCACTTTCACTTTGTAAGTGGGTTTACTGAGGGCTGGAGTGGGGGACGTTTCACCACGTCAGCCTAGGTTGAATGAGATGTGTCTGACTCTGATAAGACAGCCCTGAAGGGCCAATGGGAACACTAGACTTTCTCACACATCCCCTGGAAAATTCCAGGACCTTCTTTCATATACCTGGGAAAACAAACAAACAAACAAAAAACAAAACCTTCTCTTTCACAGCTTTGTCACATTAATCCCAAATATTTAATTCTGCTTTTCCAGAAAAACACAGCATACTGATGAAACGCAGAACTGTGAAAACATGGCTATTGGTGCTGAAAACAGTGAAAGACTGTCAGCTGTAGAAATGAGCTCTCAGCGGCCAGGCACGGTGGCTCAAGCCTGTAATCCCAGCACTTTGGGAGGCAGAGGCGGGTGGATCACGAGGTCAAGAGATCGAGACCATCCTGGTCAACATGGTGAAACCCTGTCTCTACTAAAAATACAAAAAATTAGCTGGGCATGGTGGCGTGTGCCTGTAATCCCAGCTACTCAGGAGGCTGAGGCAGGAGGATTGCCTGAACCCAGGAGGCGGAGGTTGCGGTGAGCCGAGATCGCGCCATTGCACTCCAGCCTGGGTAAAAAGAGCGAAACCCCGTCTCAAAAAAAAAAAATGTGTTAAAAAAGAAATGAGCTCTCAGCAAATTTTTTCATGAACACATAAGCTCTGCTGGAATAAGTGTTTAAGTCAACCCAGCCATCCTTCCACATTTACAGAAAACAGAACTGGCAGAAGGGACCTGAGGGGGACAACTACTTAGCAGTTCACAGATCACTATTTTAAGAGATGATATAAGGGAAGAAAACTGACCAGTAACAAATTAGTACCTAGGTTCTGATGTTTACATTAAAAAAAAAAAAGGTCATTGATATCTTTACCAAGTACACACTGATATCATCTAGAATTACCTATTGATGGCTGGCACATTGGCTCACACCTGTAATCCCAGCATTTAGAGAGGCCAAAGAGGGTGGATCACTTGAGGTCAGGAGTTTGAGACCAGCCTAGCCAACATAATGAAACCCTGTCTCTACTAAAAATACAAAAATTGGCCAGGTGTAGTGGCATGTGCCTGTAATCCCAGATACTTGAGGAGGCTGAGGCATGAGAATCAATTGAACCTGGGAGGTGGAGGTGGCAGTGAGCCAAGGTCACACCAGTGCACTCCAGACTGGGTGACAGAGTAACACTCCATCTCAAATAATAATAATAAGGGCCGGGTACAGTGGCTCACACCTGTAATCCCAACACTTTTGGAGGCCGAGACAGGTGGATCACTTGGGGTCAGAGGTTTGAGACCAGCCCGGCCAACATGACGAAACTCTGTCTTTACTAAAAATACAAAAAATTAGCCAGGCATGGTGGCAGGCACCTGTACTCCCAGCTAGTAGGAAGCTGAGGCAGGAGAACTGCTTGAACCTGGCAGGCAGAGGTTGCAGTGAGCTGAGATCACGCCACTGCCCTTCAGCCTGGGTGACAGAGCGAGACTCTATCTCAAAAATAAATAAGTAATTAAAAATAAATGAATAAAATTATCTACTGACTATCAAAGAGTGTTTCCAACAGAGGATAAAGAGTAGAAAGCATGAAGACTGGGCTGGGCATGGTGGCTCACGCCTGTAATGGCAGCACTTTGGGAGGCCAAGGTGGGTGGATCACAAGGTCAGGAGTTTGAGGGCAGCCTGATCAACAAGGTGAAACCCTGTCTCTACTAAAAATACAGAAATTACCTGGGCGTGGTGGCACGCGCCTGTAGTCCCAGCTACTCAGGAGGCTGAGCCAGGAGAATCACTTGAACCCAGGAGGCGGAGGTTGCAGTGAGCTGAGATCACACCACTGCACTCCAGCCTGGCAACAGAACAAGACTCTGTCTCAAAACAAAAAAGAAAGAAAGAAAGAAACTTTGCAGACCTCAATCTGAAAGCAACACAATTAACTTCAAATAGAAACCATTTTGAAAAAATATATATATCATTTTATATACATATATATATAATTTAACTATATATATGGAATTCTACAAAGGAAAAAAATTTGAAAATATATCACATTTAGAAAAGAATGACATGAGCTGATAGAGGATTCCACAAAAGCTTACCTCAGCAATAATTACATATAGAAAAGTAAACTGCATTATGTAAGATTCATCTCAACCATCAACATAAACCGTGAATGAGATGAAAGGTAAATATAAGGCACCAGGCAGTGCCACAGTCACTCCTTGCCCTTCTGCACTGCCCCACACCCTACCCCATCCTAGGAAACAGGAAGAGGGAGACCCACAACTGAATGAGGCAAGTCATCAGCAAGGGCAAGTGAAAGCTAGCCTCTGATGCTATAACAAGCCCTATACACAGAGCTCTGTAATTCTCATCCTTCTCCGTAGAATTTAAACAATTAGATTATAATTTAAGTTCATTACATTATAAATAGTGAAATCGAATCGTCAAATCCAGTGTCAATTCACCACTCATCTGGCCCCCGAGCGCCCCTCTTTGTTCTTAACTATGTGTTCCTCTCCCCCACTCTGTACCTCTCACTTTCACCTTGCCGCTCCAGCCCTTCGTCTTTCCCTTTGTTTTTCTCCTAGGATTCTGCTGATTTTGAGCCTCACTTCTCTTCTGCTCTTTCTCCTTTGTTTTTTCCCTTATGTCTGTTCCACTCCATTCTTGCAACTTCTTTCACCTCTTGTGGCGCTTCCTTTCCAATCTTTTTGTTTGTTTGTTTTTGAGACAGAGTCTTGCTCTGTCACCAGGCTAGAGTGCAGTGCCGCAATCTTGTCTCACTGCAGCCTCCACCTCCTGGGTTCAAGCGATTCCCCTGCCTCAGCCTCCTGAGTAGCTGGCATTTTAGGCGCCCGCCACCACGCCTGGCTAATTTTTGTATTTTTAGTAGAGACGGGGTTTCACGATGTTGGCTAGGATGGTCTTGATCTCTTGACCTCATGATCCACCCGCCTCGGCCTCCCAAAGTGCTGATATTACAGGTGTGAGCCACCGCGCCCGGGCTCTTTCCAATCTTTTGATCGTCCCAATCTCTATCTATTTCTGCCTCTTTCTTCCTCCACCGCTGCGCCTCCTCTGCTCTCCCTGTTAAATTCCCTCTTCCCTGTTACACCCGCTTATCCCCTCTGTGGCAACCCCAGATCCCAGGCCTCCTCGTGCTGTGGTTCTCCCTCTGCTCTCCTTGTTAGCGGCTGACGGGGCAGACTCCAAATCCCTCCTCCTCTCCCCCACTCTGTCTAAGGAGCCTCCTCCTCTGCTGCCCCTCTCCTTATCTTGCTGTCCTTCATCTGTGGACATCGTGCTTTTCTGTCCCTGCTACTTTCTTGACTGCTTCCTTCACTCTCTTTGCAAGTCCCTCACCCATCCTCCACTCTGCCATCTGCTTAGGAGTCTCCCTCATTTTTCTTTTCTCTTTCTTGGTTTTCCCATCTCCTCTCAGTTGCTCTTTGTCTCTCTTTCTCCGGATCCCACACATTCACAGGGGGGTTTGGAGTAAGACGCCTGCATCCAGGAGAAGCGCATTTTCCAGGGGCTGGAGCTGGGCAGGCAAGAACACGGGGTGTCACAGGACAGGCCCCGGGCACCTCCCCAACGCGGGCTCAGGGGAAGCGGTGACTGCGGAGAGGAGGCCTGGGGAGCAGCAGGGCCCGGCACGAGGAGGAGGGAGGCGGGGGCATGACAGCGCCTTAGGACAGGGGTGGAGACTGCGGGATCCCAGGACTAGACAGAGGACGCGGCCTCCCCGGGAGTGGGGCTGCGGCGCTGCGCTCCAGAGGCAGATGAGGGCGAGGCTGGGAGGCGCCTAGGGCGGGCGGTGAGGACTTTAAGCGGTGGGGCGGGAGGAGGAGTCAGTAAAAGATTTTAAGGAGGAAAATCCTGCTTATACGTTTAAAAACCGGGAAAGGCGGTCTTTACTTGGCCCAGGGCAGAAAGACCCGGGGCAGGGACCAGCCTCAGGGCGACCTGAACCCAAAGGGAAGCGTCTCCGGGCCCACACCGCGAGGCCTGTGTTTACCTGAGGTGGAGGGCGTGGTGCGGAGACGTTAAGTCCGTAGCGACCCCGGGGCATCGGGTGTGCGAACGGGGGACGGCGAGGCGCAGGTTGAGGCTACACAGAGGAACATTCAAACGCCATGGTGTGATGCTTGCTCCGCACGATCCACTTCCGGGTCTGGGGGCGAACTGCGCGTAGGGAAGCGACCGAACGGCCGGGGGCGGGGCCAGAGAGGGGCGGAACCGGACGAGGGCGGGCCGTTGAGAGTTCCGGGCTGCGGCCCGGGCCGCGGGGCAGGGACCCCGGGGAAGGAATGGCGAGGAGCCACGGGGGATGGTGGGGGCGGGGAGTGGTCGCGTGGGAGGCACCTGGGGGCGGGCCGAGGAGGAGCCGCGGGGGAAGGGCGGGGAGGAACCCGGGGGAGGGACCGCGGGGCGGAACCGTGGGGAGGGACCCGGGGGAGGAACCGTGGGGCTGAACCGAGGGGAGGGACCCGGGGGAGGGACCGCGGGGAGGAACCGTGGGGCTGAACCGTGGGGAAGGACCCACTATCGTCTGCGATTACGTGTGATGCCCACCGCCCACGCCCAGAGCCTTTAGTCTGTCAGGTGTCTTGTGGAACGGCGTAGATGTTTCAGTTTCAAGTTAAAAGCATAGTTGTTAGTTACTTATTTTGAAAATCAAACTGTTTTCTTCTTAGATTGGAAAACGGTTTCCGTTGAAACCATTTTTGGGGGGCGCATTTACCCAGTAATGGTATTGAGGCTGAAGCAGCCCAGGAGACTGGGAACGTGGGTCGACACGGAGCGGTGTTGGCATCCTGGAAAGTTTCTGCGATTAAAATTAATATAAGTAATTTCATTTAAAAGCCCTGAAATTAGCAATAACTTTAAAAAAAGATAAAAATTTGCATTCTTTTTTATATTATTCTATTCCATACGAGGCAACAACCTCAAACACCTATACGTTTTCTTTTTGTCTTTTTTCTTTTTTCGATACGGAGTCTCACTCTTGTCACCTAGGCTGGAGTGCAGTGGCATGATCTCTGCTCACTGCAATCTCGACCTCCCGGGTTCAAGTGATTCTCCTGCCTCAGGCTCCTGAGTAGCTGGGATTACAGGCGCCTGCCACCACGCCCTTTAGTAGAGATGGAGTTTCACCATGTTGCACAGGCTGGTCTCGAACTCCTGACCTCAGGTGATCCACCCGCCTCAGCATCCCAAAGTGCTGGGATTACAGGCATGAGCCACCACGCCTGGTTGCAAGAGGTACTTTCACCTACTGAATTTATATTAAGCCTTTTGCCACAAAAAGAAAATATACATAATTTATCTTAGAACAGTTAAGATATTTACCACTGTAAATGACAAATTCAGACTTAGGGAAGGAAAGAGTTTATTCCAAAGGACTATTGCAATAGAGAGTATTCCAATCACATGATATGAAAATGTCCAAGACATACAAACTGAAGAAATTTTTTTTTCATATGTGGAGGAGTAAACAAGACTAGAAAGCACAAGCACAAGTGATGGGGCTGTGGATGAGTGCTTGGCCTGACTATAGTTATTCAGGGAAAGTATGTTATGTTATGTTATGTTATGTGTTATATTATGTTATTGAAGACAGAGTCTTGCTCTGTCACCCAGGCTGGAGTGCAGTGGTATAATCTCTGCTCACTGCAACTTTCATTCGCTAGGCTCAGGCAATCATCCCACATCAATCTCCCCAGTAGCTGGGACTACAGGCACATGTCACCTAGCCTGGTTAATTTTTGTATTTTTTGTAGAGATGGCATTTCGCCATTTTGCTCAGGCTAGTCTTGAACTCCTGAGCTTGAGGGATCCGCCCACCTTGGCCACCCAAAGTGCTGGGAATACAGACATGAGACACCATGCCTGGTCTATTTATTTTTTGAAAGAGCATCTTGCTCTGTTGCCCAGGCTAGAGTGCAGTGTTGAGATCATAGCTCACGGCAGCCTTGAACTCCAGGGCTCAAGTGATCCTCCCACCTCAGCCTCCCAAGTAGCTGGGACTACAGGTTTGCACCACCACACTCCACTAATCTTTTCACTTTTTGTAGAGGCATGTTCTCGCTATGATGCCCAGGCAGGTCTTGAACTTCTAGCCTCAACTGATCCTGCTGCCTCGATCTCCCAAAGTGTTGGGATTACAGATGTGAGCCTAGCTCATCATGGAGTTCAAGACCAGTTTGAGCAACATAGCAAGACTCCTATCTCTATAGAAAATTTTGAAAAATTAGCTGGGCATGGTGGCACACACCTGTAGTCCCAACTACTCAGGAACACTGCTTGAGCCCAGGAGTTTGAGGCTGCAATGAGCTATGACCCCAACACTGCACTCCATTCTGGGCAGCAGACTGAGAACCTGTTTATCTTTAAAAAGAGAAAAAAGCCTACTCTTGGGAGGGGCTGTTGTTAAGAAAAAGTTGTTCCAAATTACACTGACCAGGAATGTTTCAATGGACCGGCATGGTGGTTCATGCCTGCAATCCCTGCACTTTGGGAGGCCAAGGTGGGCAGCTTACATGAGGTCAGGAGTTCCAGATCAGCCTAGCCAACATGGTGAAACGCTGTCTGTACTCAAAATACAAAAATTAGCAGGGCATGGTGGTGCACACCTGTAATCCCAGCTACTCGGGAGGCTAAGGCAGGAGAATTGCCTGAAGCAGGGAGACAGAAGCTACAGTGAGCCGAGATTGCACCACTGCACTCCAGCTTGGGTGACAGAGTGAGACTTTCTCAAAATAATAATAGTAAACAAATAAGGCTAGGTGCAGTGGCTTACGCCTGTAATCCCATCACTTTGGGAGGCCGAGGAGGGCAGATCACAAGGTCAAAAAATAGAGACCATCCTGGCCAACATGGTGAAACCCCATCTCTACTAAAAATACAAAAATTAGGTGGACATGGTGGTGTGTGCCTGTAGTCCCAGCTACCTGGGAGGCTGAGGCAGGAGAATTGCTTGAACCATGGAGACAGAGGTTACAGTAAGCCCAGATCACGCCACTGCACTTCAGCCTGGTAGACAGAGCGAGACTCTGTCCCATCAAGAAAGAAGGAAAAAAGGAAAGAAGTAAAGAAGGAAAGGGAGGGAGGGAGGGAGGGAGGAAGGAAGGACTGAATTAGTAGTGAAAAACCTCAAAAGAGAAAAGTTTGTGGCTGGGTGTGATGGCTCACACCTGCAATCCCAGCACTTTGGGAGGCAGAGGCAGGCAGATCCCTTGAGCTCACGAGTTTGAGACCTGCCTGGTCTAAAAGGCAAAACACTGTCTCTACAAAAATTAGCCAGGTGTGGTGGTGCACACCTGTAGTCCCAGCTACTCAGGAGGCTGGGATGGATCACTTGATCCCAGCAGGTTAAGTTTGCAGTGAGCCAAGATCGCATCACTGTATTCCACTGGGCAATAGAGCAAGATTCTGTCTCAAAAAAAGAGACTTTTTAAAAAGTTCTGGAATTTGGGGCTGGGCGTGGTGGCTCATGCCTGTAATCCCAGCACTTTGGGATACCGAAGCTGGGGGGGATCATGAGGTCAGGAGATCGAGACCATCCTGGCCAACAAGGTGAAACCCTGTCTCTACTGAAATACAAAAAAATTAGCTGGGCGTGGTGGCTCGCATCTATAATACCAGCTACTCAGGAGGCTGAGGCAGGGGAATCACTTGAACCCGGGAGGCAGAGGTTGCAGTGAGCCAAGATGGAGACACTGCCCTCCAGCCTGGGCAACAAGAATGAAACTCTGTCTCAAGAAAAGAAAAAAAGAAAAGAAAAGAAAAAATAATAATAATCATGCAGAGCAATAGTCACCAAGAGTGATAGAGCTGGCTGAGTGTGGTGCCTTATGCCTATAATCCCAGCACTTTGAGAGACCAAGGCAGACAGATGACCTGAGGTGAGGGGTTTGAGACGAGCTTGGCCAACATGGTGAAACCTTGTCTCTGCTAAAAATACAAAATTAGCTGGCCATGGTGGCAGGGTGCCTGTAATCCCAGCCACTCGGGAGGTTGGGGCAGGAGAATCGCTTGAACCGGGGAGGCAGAGGTTGCAGTGAGCTCCCGTGCCACTGCACTCCAGCCTGGGCAACAGAATGAGACTCCATCTCTTAAAAATAAAAAAAAAAAAAAGATACAGCTAAGGGTGTAAAACTTTCTTGGGATTTGCATTACATTCACATAAGCATCCCGAGGCAGGGCGTGCGGAGAACAACTCAAGTGCACTCCATAAGTGTATGTTCTCAACACTCTATTTAAATTCCAAAAACAAAAAAACAATTGTTCTCTCTTTCAGCCTTAAGAGCCTAATGATGTGTGGTTATTGTCTGTTACAAAGTAACCTACTGAGGTGCCATAAAATTCTGTTGGTACAATGAACATGGTGCATTCGTAGTTATGAAAAAATGGAATTTTATTAATTAGCACAAGATCTCTGATACATTGTGAATAAAACAGTAGCAAAATGTAATGCCAGCAGTACATGTGAATCCCTAATCAATAACATGCTATTGAGGTTCATCTTTGAGGTTGCGGTTTCTATCGTGGTTTCAATCTTCCCTATACAACAGCGATGGCCATTCCCTGCAGAAGGTGGCCCCCATTTTCCTCTGAATTATTTCCACCATGGAATCAGTCACTAGCAGTCCATTACTCTCCTCCCACAAATCCCCGTGTCTAAGGTCTTGGGCTGCTCTATTTCAAGGTCAGTTTGTGGGTCATCTCTTTCCTGTAACCCAAAGTGCCCTCTGTCGGAGCACCCTGAACGCAGTAAGGATGATGATCAGAATCATCGTTTTGCTTTCTTCTCTGTCTGCCCCCATGCTTGGTAATTTAATTTGCAAAAGCAGAGTCCTGATTCTTCAAAGAATTTGAATAGAAATGATCCTCATCTCATGCAGTGAGCCCTTCCATCTTGCTGATTCTTTCCCAGACAGCACCATGAAAGGTGGGTAGGGAGGCGTATCAACACATTTCAAGGTTTAGGCTGAAAGTCATAAATTCTAAAGTATAGAGTGGTCATCTGCAAGACACCTAAAATAATGAATTTTTTTTTTTTTTTTTTTTTTGAGACGGAGTTTTGCTCTTGTTACCCAGGCTGGAGTGCAATGGCGCCATCTCGGCTCACTGCAACCTCTGCCTCCTGGGTTCAGGCAATTCTCCTGCCTCAGCCTCCTGAGTAGCTGGGATTACAGGCACGCGCCACCATGCCCAGCTAATTTTTTGTATTTTTTTTAGTAGAGACGGGGTTTCACCATGTTGACCAGGATGGTCTCGACCTCTTGACCTCGTGATCCACCCGCCTCGGCCTCTCAAAGTGCTGGGATTACAGGCTTGAGCCACCGCGCCCGGCCCAATAATGAAATATTTTAAGATCTGAAGATAACCAGTGACTCCCAAACATCCTGCAACCTTTAATATACATCACGTTGTAGGTTTTAACATATTTGGACTTGCAATTGTTCTACAATGTCTAATATGAAAAGTTTAGCATGCACAACTAGACTGAATGATTCCCCGCATAAATCCTTGGATGTTTTAGTGTTTATCCCTGGGTAATCACTTCAACATGCGCGAAATATACAAAGATGTATATTTTGATGTCTAGTGAGTTGTGAGACTTAAAATTAAGCCTCTGCCACATACATTCATATGATTTCTCTTTAGATGGACTCTGACGTCAATAAATGCTTGAACTCATGATGAAGGGTTTGTTGTACTTGTAAGGATTCTCTCAGGAATGAAATTCTCTGTTGCTGTGTACGAGAGAACTGTGACTGAAAACCTCGCCACATGTATTATATTTGTAAGAAGGTTTCTCTCTTATATAAATTCTTTGATGACTCACAAGATTTAAACTTTGACCGAAGATCTTCCCATATTAATTTCTTTTATATGGTTTCTCCTTAGTATGGATAATCTGATGTCTCATGAGGTTTGGGCGCACACTAAAAGACTTCCCACAATCATCACATTTGTAAGGTTTCTTTCCAGTATGGACTATCTGATGTCTAGTGAGGTTTGGGCGGACACTGAAGGATTTGCCACACTCGTTACATTTGTAAGGTTTTTCTCCAGTATGGATGACCTGATGAGTGGTTAGGCTTGAATGTACACTGAAGGCTTTGCCACACTCATTACATTTGTAAGGCTTCTCTCCAGTATGGATGACCTGATGGGTAGTTAAGTTCGAATGCACACTGAAGGCTTTGCCACACTCAGCACACTTGTATGGTTTCTCTCCAGTATGAACTCTCCGATGACTAGCAAGGTGTGAATTGTAACTGAAAACCTTGCCACATTCATTGCATTTGTAAGGTTTCTCTCCAGTGTGAATTCTCCAGTGCCTTGCAAGGCTTGAGGTTTGACTGAAGACTTTACCACATTCATTACACTTGTATGGTTTCTCCCCAGTGTGAATTCTCTGATGAGTTGCAAGGCTTGAAGTCTGACTGAAGACCTTGCCACATTCATTGCATTTGTAAGGTTTCTCTCCACTATGAGTTACCTGATGGTTGGTAAGTGTTGACCTCACACTAAAGGCTTTGCCACACTCATTACACTTGTAAGGTTTCTCTCCAATATGAATTTTTCGATGTAGCGCAAGGCACGAATTGCGACTGAAGACCTTGTCACATTCACAACACTTGTAAGGTTTCTCTCCAGTATGAACTCTCCGATGTAGCGCCAGGCATGAGCTGCGACTGAAACCTTTGTCACATTCATTACATTTGTAAGGTTTCTCCCCAGTATGAACTCTCCGATGACGTGCAAGGTTTGATTTTTGACTAAAGACCTTGCCACATAGATCACATTTATATCGTTTCTCTCCAGAATGACTTACCTGATGGACAGTCACGTGTGAGTCGTGATTAAAGGCTCTGTCGTGCTCATATCTGTAAAGTTTTTCTCTAATGCATGATTTCTGTTCTTGTGTGAGTAATGAAGAACAGATGAAATCAGTCCCATGTTTATTAGAAATACGGGTTTTGATGGCAGAAGAAATTATTTGGGGTGGTGGCACTGAGAAACCATGGTTGACAGACTTCTCAACATGGTTACATTCATAAATTTTCCCTTCAGCTTGAAACTGCTGCAGTTCAGGGGAATGGGATAGAAAGATTAAACCAAGCTGATTTTTAATAGACTTGTTTTCTATACCTCCTCTATCATGGTGGTCTCTTCTACAAGTAAGATTTTCTTTTGGGGTCACAGTCACTTTGTTGTAATTTCTTTCATCATGTCTCCACTGACAGTGGAAGTCGTGTATCTTTTTCCTGACTTCCCTGAAGCAAAACTCTTGCATGTCAGGTGTTTCATGCTGTTCCAATGCCACTGTGTGGAATACATCCCCCATGTTACTTTCCTGTTTTGGTGCTAATTCATTGATCACACCGTTATGAGAGAGAGCTATAAGAAATAAAAAACCATAGATTTCCAATTAATTAGAAACAGTATGTAAATATTTCCTTTTTTTCTTTTTTCTATTTTTTGAAACAGAGTCTTGCTCTGTCACCAGGCTGGAGTGCAGTGGTGCAATCTCAGCTCACTGCAACTGCCTCCCAGGTTCAAGTGAGTCTCCCGCCTCAGCCTCCTGAGTAGCTGGGAAAACAGGTGCGTGCCACCACACCCAGCTCATTTTTGTATTTTCAGTAGAGACGAGGTTTCATTGTGCTGGGCAGGATATCTTGACCTCAGGATATCTTGGTCTCGATATCATGACCTCGTGATCTGCCTGCCTCAGGCTCCCAAAGTGCTGGGATTACAGGCATGAGCCACTGTACCTGGCATAAATAAATATTTCATGCTGAATAACAGTATTACACAAAAACATTTATCTACAATAGAGTTATAAAACTTCCCAATCATGATCTTTAATTTTTAGGAACACAAAGGAATCACATTCTTTAGTAAAAGAAGAGCGATTTCATGTAATTCAAATCAATTCTAGAGAAGGACAGTTTCAAATACCCTGTGACCAAAACACATTGTACAAACCTAAGTTTCTCTTGAAATGAGTATTTTTTTTTTTTTACCTTGACAACAAAGTACACACCAATTAGCAGAAAGCACATGGCTGCCTCATTACTGAAAAGAAATAAATATTACATTTTACCTAGTTATAGCACATTTACTGTGCCCATATAAATGATACAAGTACTACACAATATATAATAGTAAATAAGCCACAACAAACTTAGGCAATGAATAATGTACATAAATGATAATTCTGCATTGCAAAACAGTAATAGCACTGAGAAAATGAGAAAAAAAAATACTGTTAAAAATAGCTGATTTTTCTGAACGCCTGTTATGAAACCATCTGTACCCATCCAGACCAGGCGTTTTTGACATTAATGAGTGATGCATGTCAGTTACATTGCATGAAATGTACTAAAAACCCATCATCTGTAAATCATAACAATTAATTAATAAAACACTGTAGCAACCTGTGATAAAACCAGCAAACAAAAAAACTAGTAACTACGCGTGTAAAAAGTTACAGCCTGTAAATGATTCTTTCCTAAGAAAAAAGCAAGAACCATTTCGGAACCAGCACACAACCTGTGAACCGGAATATATGGGTTTTTTGTTTGTTTGGTTGGTTTCTTTTGAGATGGAGTTTCGCTCTTGTTGCCTGGGCTGGAGTGCAATGGTGTGATCTTGGCTCACCACAACCTCTGCCTCCTGGGTTCAAGCAATTCTCTTACTTCAGCCTCCCAAGTAGCTGGGGATTACACAAGCATGCACCACCATGCCTGGCTAACTTTTTGTATTTTAGTAGAGATGGGGTTTTACCATGTTGGTCAGGCTGGTCTCAAACTCCTGACCTCAGGTGATCAGCCCACCTCAGCCTCCCAGAGTGCTGAGATCACAGGTGTAAGTCACCACACCTGGCCAAAAGTCAGTTTTCAGGGGAAAAATCATGCAAACTTAAGAGAAAAAAAAAAATCAGGAAAAGCCAAGGTTTTTCTATAAGCATATGGTAGTAAGACCAATGGAAGAGAGAAAAAAATACAGCACATGAGGCCAGATTCTGAAAGATCTTGAGATGGGATTGTCTGCTCTGCCTACAGACAGGAGCCTGAAAGACTAAGATATACTCCCTGTGTAGGACAGGGGATCACCTTGAAGACCTGTCAACTGTTCTTACAGTTCTGCTGAGTGACAGTCTCAGAAGATCCAACCCCCTCCCCTGGTCCACACACCCACGAACTGTGACAAAAGCAGAACAGAATGGCTGAGGGACCTCAACAGGCAAAAAGGGCTTGACATAGCTCCTAGCAGCTCCCAGGGCCCCAGATGCAAAGGAGGAGCAGATGTTTCCCATCTCCTGAGCAGGTCTTCCCAGCACCAGAAATGGGGTGGAGCATGGATAGCTCCAGGCATTGGGTCTGTGGAGGCCTCAGCTCTGATCTATATGGAAAGTGAGTTGAGCATCAGACAGCGTCAAGAACAGGAGAGACCAAGGGAGAAGCAGACCCTTGTGATGTGGCTCTTCCTGGACCCCTCGGAGTGAAGGAGGCAGAGAGTTCACAGAAGCCAGATGGCGCTGTTGTACGTCAGGATGAGTACTTCCACTTGTCTCTGTTTGAGCCGTGGCCCCACTGGAGGGCAAAAGGATCAACTATTAGACGTCTCAAGAGCAGAGGGATAAGGTGAGGGGTGAGGGTGCGGGGTTTAAAACTTCCTCTAAGAGCTCGCAGGACATAAACATTTGTTTTCCCATAGAACTTTCCCGCTTGCTGAGAGTTTCCCAACACTATTTAATGGTGTGGCTTCCTCTCTCCCCATCTGAGGTCTTACCTATTTTTCACACCTTTAATCCATTCCCACCCTTTTGGTTTTCTTGCTATTTGCATTGGCTTTCTTCAGACCAGTGCTCTTTCCTGTGCTCCAACATGAGATAATACTCTGGCCAGGAAGAGAGTTTCCTGCTTATAAAATGAATGGAACATGATGTGCTGTGGCTTTTTAAGAATCTCAACCCTTGGCTGGGCACTGTGACTCACACCTGTAATCCCAACACTTTGGGAGGCCGAGGTGGGCGGATCATGAGGTCAAGAGATCAAGACCATCCTGGCCAACATGGTGAAACTCCGACTCTACTAAAAACACAAAAAATTAGGCTGTAGTCCCAGCTACTTGGGAGGCTGGGGCAGGAGGATCGCTTGAACCCCAGGAGGCAGAAATTGCAGTGAGCCAAGATCACACCATTGCACTCCAGCATGGTGACAGAGCGAGACTCCATCTCTTAAAAAAAGAATCGCTTTTTTCCCTCTCCCAACATGGCGGCCTCAGCAAAAAAGAAGAATAAGAAGGGGAAGACTATCTCCCTTACAGACGTTCTGGCTGAGGATGGGGGGACTGGTGGAGGAAGCACGTATGTTTCCAAAGCAGTCAGCTGGGCTGATGAAACAGATGACCTGGAAGGAGATGTTTCAACAACTTGGCACAGTAATGATGATGATGTGTATAGGGTGCCTCCAATTGACCGTTCCATCCTTCCCACTGGTCCACGTGCTACTCGGGAACCCAATATCAACCGGAGCCGTCTTCCCAAATCGCCACCCTACACTGCTTTTCTGGGGAACCTACCCTATGATGTGACAGAAGAGTCAATTAAGGAATTCTTCAGAGGATTAAATATCAGTGCAGTGCCTTTACCACGTGAACCCAGCAATCCAGAGAGGTTGAAAGGTTTTGGTTATGCTGAATTTGAGGACCTGGATTCCCTGCTTAGTGCCCTGAGTCTCAATGAAGAGTCTCTAGGTAACAGGAGAATTTGAGTGGACATTGCTGATCAAGCACAGGATAAAGACAGGGACGATTGTTCTTTTGGCCGTGATAGAAATCGGGATTCTGACAAAACAGATGCAGACTGGAGGGCTCGTCCTGCCATACAGCTTTGATGACTAGAGGTGATGATAGCTTTGGAGACGAGTATCGAGATCGTTATGATTCAGACCGGTATCGCGATGGGTATCGGCATGGGTACCAGGATGGCCCTCGCCGGGATATGGATCGATATGGCGGCCGGGATCGCTATGATGGCCCAGGCAGCAGAGACTATGATCGAGGCTATGACTCCCGGATAGGCAGTGGCAGAAGAGCATTTGGCAGCGGATACCGCAGGGATGATGACTACAGAGGAGGCGGGGACCGCCATGAAGACCGATATGACAGAAGGGATGATCGGTCATGGAGCTCCAGAGATGATTACTCTAGGGATGATTATAGGCGTGACGATAGAGGTCCGCCCCAAAGACCCAAACTGAATCTAAAGCCTCGGAGTACTCCTAAGGAAGATGATTCCTCTGCTAGTACCCCCCAGTCCAGTCGAGCTGCTTCTGTCTTTGGAGGGGCAAAACCCGTTGACACAGCAGCTAGAGAAAGAGAAGTAGAAGAATGCTACAGAAGGAACAAGAGAAGTTGCAGCGTCAGCTGGATGAGCCCAAACTAGAAAGACGGGCTCGGGAGAGACACCCAAGCTGGCGGAGTGAAGAAACTCAGGAACGGGAAGGGTCGAGGACAGGAAGTGAGTCATCGCAGACTGGGATCTCCACCACATCTGGCAGAAGTAAGTCAGATCAGGATGCATGATGGAGAGAGAGTGAGAAGGCTCTAGAAAATGAAACAGTAAGGAGGAAGATCGTCTCTCTCCAACTTCTAAACCTCCCAAACCTAATCAGCCTCTAAAGGTAATGCCAGCCCCTCCACCAAAGGAGAATGCTGGGGTGAAGCGAAGTTCTAACCCTCCTGCTCGATCTCAGAGCTCAGACACAGAGCAGCAATCCCCTACAAGTGGTGGGGGAAAAGTAGCTCCAGCTCAACCATCTGAGGAAACACCAGCCAGGAAAGATGAAAATAAAATAGATGGGATGAATATCCCAAAAGGCCAAACTGGGAACTCTAGCCGTGGTCCAGGAGATGGAGTGAACAAAGACCACTGGAAGGAGTCAGATCGGAAAGATGGCAAAAAGGATCAAGACTCCAGATCTGCACCTGAGCCAAAGAAATCAGGAAAATCCAGCTTCCATGTTCAGTTCTGCAAGCAAGTATGCTGCTCTCTCCATTGATGGTGAAGATGAAAACGAGGGAGAAGATTATGCTGAATAGACCTCAACATCCTGTGCTTTCTCCTAATTTCTCTCCAACCTGGAACATTCGAGAGCAAATCAAACCTCTATCCAGACAAGACAAAATAAAACTCACCATCTCCTGGAAAAAAAAAAAAAGAATCTCAGCCCTTTGCTTGGTCAAGAAGAGAGGCTATCACAGGTGGATCTAGGAAAATATTTCACAAATTCTTTCGCTGAATGCCTACTCTGAATGCTTCGAGAAGACTGTCACATGCAGATATCTAGCTCTCTTCCAAGAACTACGGAATCAAAGCATGGGGCGCGGGGGTGGAAACAAGAAGTGAATATTTCAAAAGTCTACCATAAGCTTTCATGGATACTTCATCTCTGGAACCACCACTGTTGTATCATGAAGGAGTCAGAACATCTAAGGAAAGGGGATGGTTAGACTCCAGAACCCACATTATGGAGCTTTTCATTTCAGAGTCAACAAGGCTTTACACTCAGTCAAGTAATGCAGGGGCTCCCAAGAGGCACACAAGGGAAAATGGAAAGATACAAGGGCAGATTTTGACTTCTGAAGGGACATTATCCTCACCCAGGGAGACCAGGTTCCTGTAGTTCTCCAACATCACGTCCCTGTATAAAGTCCTCTGTGTAGAGTTCAGGCATTTCCACTCCTCTTGAGAGAATTCGATGGCCACATCCCTGAATGTCAAGTGTCCCTAAAATAATAAACACATTTCACAAGGGGTTATGCAGGGAGTTACCATCTTCACACAAAATAAGAATAAAAGAGAATGGTAAGTATAGATCTAATTGAAGTGTATGTTCTGATAAATCCACACTAAGGTATTTTTGAGCAAACATTTCTCCCTAATTGTGTTTTTCCCCCCTTTTTTTCTTTTCTTTTCTTTCTTTCTTTCTTTCTTTTTTTTTGTTTGAGCCACGGTCTCACTCTACTGCCGAGGCCGAAGTGCAGAGGTGTGATCACGGCTCACTGCAGACTCAATTTCCCAGGTTCAAGTGACCCTCCCACCTTACCTTCCCAAGTAACTGGACTATAAGTATGTGCGTGTACAAAGTACATTTGAAAACTTCAACAATGAACTAGGGATCAAGAAGAAGAAAGAATTTCAGAACCTGAAGACAGGTCTTTTGAAATAAACTAGTCAGACAAAAATAAAGAAAAAATAAAAAAGAATGAACACAGCCTACGTAACATATGCGGCAGGCATCATAAGGTGACCAAATATTTGAATTTTTGGTGCCCCAGAAGGTGAAGAGGAAATGAAAAGGATGGAAGCCTATTAAACAAAATAATAATCGAAACTTCCTAAGTGAAAAAGGTTTAGATATCTAGATACAGGAAGTTCATAGATTCTGAAAGAGATACAATCCAAAAAACTCTTTCCCTTGGCACATTACAGTTAAAATGTCAGAAGTCAAAGAAAATGAAAGATAAAATTTTAAAAACAGCAAGAGAGAAGCATCTAGTCACTTAAAAAGGATGCTCTATAAAACAAGAATCTTCTCAATACAGACCAACAGAGAATGGTATGATATATTCAGTGTGCTAAAGGAAGAAAAAAAAACCCTGTCAGCTAAGGATATTATACTCAGCAGAATTATCCTTCATAAATAAAGGAGAAATAGTCTTTCCCAGAGAAGGAAAGGCTGAGCGAATTATTTACCACTAGATTGGCCCTATAAGAAATGCTTAAGGGCCCCAGTCACTGAGCCGCCGCCGAGGACTCAGCAGCCTCCCCCTTGAGCCCCCTCGCTTCCCGACGTTCCGTCCCCCCTGCCCGCCTTCTCCCGCCGCTGCCGCCTTCCGCAGGCCGTTTCCACCGAGGAAAAGGAATCATATCGTATGTCCGCTATCCAGAACCTCCACTCTTTCGACCCCTTTGCTGATGCAAGTAAGGGTGATGACCTGCTTCCTGCTGGCACTGAGGATTATATCCATATAAGAATTCAACAGAGAAACGGCAGGAAGACCCTTACTACTGTCCAAGGGATCGCTGATGATTACGATAAAAAGAAACTAGTGAAGGCGTTTAAGAAGTTTGCCTGCAATGGTACTGTAATTGAGCATCCAGAATATGGAGAAGTAATTCAGCTACAGGGTGACCAACGCAAGAACATATGCCAGTTCCTCGTAGAGATTGGACTGGCTAAGGACGATCAGCTGAATGTTCATGGGTTTTAAGTGCTTGTGGCTCACCGAAGCTTAAGTGAGGATTTCCTTGCAATGAGTAGAATTTCCCTTCTGTCCCTTGTCACAAGTTTAAAAACCTCACAGCTTGTATAATGTAACCATTTGGGGTCCGCTTTTAACTTGGACTAGTGTAACTCCTTCATGCAATAAACTAAAAAGAGCAAAAAAAAAAAAAAAAAAAAGAAATGCTTAAGGGATCCCTACATCTAGAAGCAAAAGGACACTATTGACCATCATGAAAACACACAAGACTATAAAACCCACTGTCAGAGAAAACAAGCAAGTAAGGAAAAGAGTCAAATGTGAATGTTACCACTATAGAAAACCACCAAACCACAATGATAAACAATGGACAAAGAAAGGAGCAAAGGACATACAAAACAACCACAAATCAATTAATAAAGTGACAGTAATAAGCCCTCATATATCAATAATGACCTTAATGTAAATGGATTAAACTCTCCACATAAAAGATATAGACTGGCTGAATTGATACAAGCACAGGACTCAACCATATGCTACCTTTAAGAAACTCACCAAGACACAAACAGACTCAAAGCGAATATATGAAAAAAGGTATTATATGCAAATGGAAACCCAAAGCAAGCAGGAATACCTCTACTTCAATCTGACAAAACGAACTTTAAGTTAAAAACAGCAGGCTGGGTGCAGTGGCTTATGCTTGTAATCCCAGTACTTTGGGAGGCTGAGGCAGGCGGATCACCTGAGGTCAGGAGTTCAAGACCAGCCTGACCAACATGGAGAAACCCATCTCTATTAAAAATATAAAAAGTTAGCTGGGTGTAGTGGCGCATGCCTGTAATCCCAGCTACTCGGGTGGCTAAGACAGAAGAATCACTTGAATCTGGGAGGCGGATGATGTGGTGAGCCGAGATGGTGTCATTGCACTCCAGCCTGGGCAACAAGAGCGAAACTCCGTCTCAAAACAAAACAAAATAGTAAAAGAGATGGAAAAGATCATTATATGCTAATAAAGAGATCAATTCAGTAAGAGAAATATAACAATTCTTTTTTTTTTTTTTTGAGACGGAGTTTCACTCTTGTTACCCAGGCTGGAGTGCAATGGCGTGATCTCGGCTCACCGCAACCTCTGCCTCCTGGGTTCAGGCAATTCTCTTGCCTCAGCCTCCTGAGTAGCTGGGATTACAGGCACGCACCACCATGCCCAGCTAATTTTTTGTATTTTTGGTAGAGACGGGGTTTCACCGTGTTGACCAGGATGGTCTCGATCTCTTGACCTCGTGATCCACCCGCCTCGGCCTCCCAAAGTGCTGGGATTACAGGCGTGAGCCACCGCGCCCAGCTGAGAAATATAACAATTCTAAACACATATGCATCCCAACACTGGCGCATTCAGACATATAAGGTAAATATTATTAGATTTAAAGAGAGAGACATGCTCCAAAAATAAGAGCTGATTTAGACAGAAAATTAATGAAGAAACACTGAACACTGAATTTAAACTGCGCTTTAGACTAAACAGACCTAACAGATATTTACAGAACTTTTCATTCCAACAAGTACAGAATACATATTGTTTACATCAGCACATAGAACATTCTCCAAGACAGACTACATATTAGAACACAAAACAAGTCTCAACACATTTTTAAAATATCAAAATCTTAATAAGTAACTTCTTAGAACAATAATAGAATAAAATTGGAAATCAATACCATGAGAAACTTTGAAAACTGTACAAATACATGGAAATTTGACAGCATGCTCCTAAATGACCAGTCTACGAAGAAATCAAGAGATAAATAAAGAAAAGTCTTGAAACAAGTAAAAATGGAAACACAACATGTCAAAACCTATGGTATAGAGCAAAAGCAATGCTAAGAGGGAAGTTTACAGCAATAAACACCTACTTGAAAACAATAGAAATATTTCAAATAGGCCAGGCGCAGTGGGTCACGCCTGTAAGCCCAGCACTTTGGGAGGCCGAGGCAGTGTATCACCTGAGGTCAGGAGTTCAAGACCAGCCTGGCCAAGATGGTGAAACCCCCGTCTGTACTAAAAATACAAAAATTAGGTGGGTGTGGTAGCACACACCTGTAATCCCAGGTTACAGGGATTACAGGCTGAGGTGGGAGAATCACTTGAACCCGGGAGGCAGAGGTTGCAGTGAGACAAGATCATGCCACTGCACTCCAGCCCGGAAGACAAAGGGAGACTCCGGCTCAAAAAAAAAAAAAATTTCAAATAGTCTAACAATGTACCTCAAGGAACTAAGAAAGCAAGAACAAATCAAACACAAAATTAGTAGAAGAAAAAAATAACAAAGATCACAGCAGAACTAAACAAAATAAAGACTACAAAAAATACAAAGGATCAACAAAATGAAATATTGGTTTTTTTAAAAAAAGATAACATAATCCATAAACTACTAGCTAGATGAATCAAGAAGAGAGAAGACCCAATAAACAAAATCAAAAATAAAAAGGATACATTACAACTGGTAACACAGAAATACAAAAGATCATAGAGATTATTATAAATAACTACATACCAACAAACTAGAAAACCTAGAGGAAATGGATAAAACGCTTGACACCAAACACCAAGACTGAATCAGGAAGATTCAGAAAACCTTAACAGCCCAATAATGAAATTTAATCAGGAATAAAAAGTCGCCGAACAAAGAAATGTCTGGGACCAGATGGCTTCACTGCCGAATTCTACCAAACTTTTAAAGAAGATCTAAGACCAATTCTGCTCAAACTATTTTATAAAACTGAAATGGAGGAAATTCTCCTTAACTCATTCTATGAAGCCAGCATTCCCCTGACATCAAAAACCAGACAACAACAACAAAAAAACTACAGGTCAAAATCCCTCATGAACATAGGTGTAAAAATCGTCAGCAAAATACCAGCAATTGAATATAAAATCACACGAGAAAGAAAATACA